CTTTGGAAAGAAAATCTGCCCGATTTTTTAGAAGAAGTGCCACTATTTGAAAGAAATAAAATGTTCTTTCAACAAGACGGTGCTTGACCACACAACGCCAGGATTGTAACAAACTACTTGAACGAGCAGTGTTCGAGATTCGAACGGTAATAACCCGCGGACAAGAAAGCGTTAAAATATTCATGCATCTCGATCATGCCTCATGCAGCATGCATATAATTTATTAATTAATATCGTGGTCTAACATGCGTATTTTAAATTATATTTAAATTAGCGCTCGGCCGCGAGAGTATACGGATACTCCGCGCCTTCGAAAATAAGCGCTTAAAACAGTCTAAATTGTAAACACCGCTGTCGCGCGAGAGGAGAGAAAAAACAAGTAAATAATTACAGTAAACGTTCCTTCACCCTTAATATCACAATAGAACGACAGCAAATGTACTCGAATATTCTAGAATTACAAGGCGTATATAAGCCTCCTCTCTCGCGACCGCGGCGCTTTTTCCGATTGCTCATCGCGAATAAAGTGTGTTCATACGATAAAGATTGGTTGTCTTTGTCTAATTCATTACCGTTGCTTGCGGACACTTAGTAATTTACGACTCGGCTAATTCTCTCGGTAAATTCGGTGCGGTATATTAATTGTAATTTTTGTTAATAGTTTATATAAATATATTTTTTTTGTGAACGTTACGCGTGTGTCGAGTGTTGTGTCTATTTCTCGGTCTCGCTTCCGACCACGTCCTATCCATCTTTCCGTCGCGCACATTTTTTGGTCCTTCGAGCCGGATTCCTCCGGAACCTCCTGTGAATCCGGTGCCACGGAAGCGATTGTGATTGAGTGTCGGTGACCAGTGCTTCTGGAACAGAGAAACATTGTTAGAAATGACAGACACGAAGGCGATCATTGCCACCGCCACGGTGCTGTACGGCAAGATCTCGCGCGCGTTCGAGAACCTGCGGAAGCTCGGCGAGGCCAATATGACCCTCGGCGCGGTGGAGGCCCGGCTTCAAAATCTCGAGAAGCTATGGGATAAATCGACGCTCTTAATGATACGTTAGCCGATCGGGTTGACGAAATAAAGCATGAGGTCTACGCTAAACAGGACATCCCGTCCTCAGGCGAGAAATAAAGGAAGGTACTAACCAATCTCTCATGCTACGAGAGCTGCCTCATCTCGATCTGAAGAGCGCTCTCCAGCTGCAGCTACAGGCAGCCAGCTCTACCGCGGCCGCGACAACTAGTCCCGCGCTCCTCGGACAGCGCTGCCAAAAATCCAACCGCCTACCTTCGCCGGGAAATACGAGGATTGGCCTTCATTCCGGGATCTGTTCCAATCCCTCATCGGCCGGAATCAGGCAGCAAAACCTGTGGAGAAGTTACACTACTTAAAACTTTGTGTGAAGGGTGACGCCGATCTGCTGATTCGTAACCTCAGCACCACAGAAGACAACTATGAAATCGCCTGGAAAACTCTAAGCGATTATTACGAGAACAAAAGATTGCTGACTCGTAATTATCTGAATAATTTCTTAGCGTTGACCAAGATGAAAAGCGAATCCGCCGCTGAATTGAGGAGGCTTTTCCATGGAGTAAAACAACTGTCAGCTCCCTGAAGAGCATAGACCGACCGATAGACCGCACGGAGGATCTCTTCGTCCACCTCGTCGTAGAGCTCCTCGACAGCCGCTCTAGGCGAGAATGGGAGTGATATAAGTCACACACCACGAGTCCGCCAAGCTACGCCTCGCTTGAGGCCTTCATAGAACGTCGGCTCCATACGTTGGAGGCGCTGTTTCCGGCCAGGAACGACAGCAGCAGCTCCAGCACTACGAAATCAACGAGGAGCCACCACGTCAAATGCCAAGATCCAAAAGAGAAGTCCAGAAGCCGGTGCTCCATCTGCCAGGGGGACCACTTTGTTATGTTCTGCGGCGACTATAAGGATAAGACGGCGATGGCGCGTAAACAGCTCGTCCGTGAGCATAAGCTCTGCTCAAACTGCCTTGGCCGGCATCAATCTTCCGAGTGCTCTTCGAAGAAGACGTGTACAGCGTGTGGCAGTCGACATCACTCCTCGCTTCACGATGCATTCCGGGAAGCCGAGGCCGCCACGACGTTTCACGTGGCTCAAGGCGCAGACTCTTCCTCCGCAACGGCTGCTCGCTACGGCTAGGGTCCGCGTCCTCGACTGCCACGGAAGCTGGCAGTCCGCTCGCGCTCTGATCGACCAGGGCTCCGAATCCTCCATCATTTCGGAGCGATTAGCGCAGCGCTTACGACTCCCTAGAAGAGCAGCCGCCGTTAGTGTCTATGGAGTCGGAGAGAAAAGGACCGGAGTGACAAAGGGGAAATGAGACTCACCCTGCAGTCGCGCAGAGGGGAATCGCCCACCTTCGTCAACGCTTTAGTGCTGCCGAAGTTGACGCTGTTTTCCGGAGGATGCCGCAGCAGTAGACGAACCTGGACCCATCTGGAGGACCTGGAGCTCGCCGATCCGGAATTCTGCTCCTCGGACCCCGTCGACATCCTACTGGGAGCCGACGTATATGGGACCATCATCCGTCAGGGTCTACGAAAAGGAGGTTCTAAGGATCCAGTAGCTCAACAAACCTCGTTGGGCTGGATTCTCTCAGGTACAGTTAGCTCGACGGCGCCCAGCCAACACATCTCCGCTCATCACTGCCAAATCGAGGAGGACATCACCTGCTTGGTGCGGCGGTTCTGGGAGCAGGAGGAAGTCCACCGGCCATCTCCGACCCTCACCAAGGCGGAACTAGAGTGCGAGGAGCACTACCGCCGTCATCACTCGCGCTCTCCTGACGGCAGGTACATAGTGCGGCTGCCAACGATCGAGCCTCTCCCGATCTGTCTGGGACTCGTCGCGCCGCCAGTCGTGCTCTGCAACAGACGGAGAAAAGGTTAGAGAAAGATGCCGACTTTAAGGACATGTACGTAGAGTTCATGCAAAAGTACAAGGAACTGCGACATATGATGCTTGCACCAGCGCCAGCTGAGCCACAACGAGGTACCTGTTACCTGCCGCATCACGGGGTCCTGCGTCCGGACAGCACTTCCACTAAGCTGAGGGTCGTGTTCAACGGCTCGAGCTCCTTGCCGAACGGGGACTCTCTCAACCAATTTCTTCTGACTGGACCGAATCTGCTTCCTGCGCTGGCTGACATCCTGCTGCGTTGGCGACGCCACAGATACGTCTTCGCTGCCGATATCGAAAAGATGTATCGGCAGATCCTAGTGCATCCGGACGATCGAAGCCTGCAGCGAATCCTGTGGAGAGACGACTCTAAGAACGACGTCCAGGAGTTCTGGCTATGCACGGTCACTTACGGGCTCTCATGCGCCCCGTATCTGGCCATCCGTACCTTACGCCAACTCGCCGAGGACGAAGAGCATCGCTTTCCGAAAGGCGCCGACATCCTGCGGAGCGATGTCTACATGGATGACATCCTGTCCGGTGCCGAGAATCAAGAGGAAGCAGAATCTATGGTGAGGCAGCTGACAAATATATGCACGGCGGGCGGGTTCACACTAAAAAGTGGTCTACAAACGCCTCCTACCTGCTGAGCCTCGTGGAACCGGACGCGCGCCTGCAACAAGAGGCCAGATGGTGGCTGCCCGGCGAGAGTCATTCCACTCTCGGCCTTCGATGGCAACCGTGCGACGACCGCTTCGCCTTCGCCACCCACCGGATCACTCTCTCAGCGGTCACCAAAAGGTCGGTCCTTTCTTTGACGGCCAAATTATTCGATCCACTCGGCTGGCTGTCTCCAACGACTGTGCTGGCCAAAATCAACATCCAGGCTACCTGGCTACTAGGTCTCGACTGGGACGCGTCTCTGCCAAGCGAGGAAGCCAGAAAATGGCTGCGATTCCAGGAGGAGCTAGCGGCATTGGAGAAACTAGTCGTGCCTTGTTGGTTAGGAGCCCTAGCTGACTCCCATCAAGAGGTTCACGGATTTGCCGATGCCTCCGAACGTGCCTACGCCGCAGTCATCTACCTGCGAACAAACACAAACGGAGTTAGGAGAGTGACTTTATTAGCTGCGAAGACCAAGCTCGATTGGTCGCCCACGTCGTGCCTCTTATTGGCGCAGAAAAGGCGCCTCTCCATCTGTGGTCGGATTCCACCGTGACTCTCGGCTGGATCCGGGGCCACCCTTCGTCCTGGGTCACTTACGTCGCTAATCGGGTGAGTGAGATCCAGACGCTGACTCCGGACGCCCACTGGCACCACGTCCCCGGCCGAGAGAATCCCGCGGACTGCGCGTCACGAGGACTCTACCCCAGCGAGCTTGTGGACCATTCACTATGGTGGCAAGGTCCGTCGTGGCTGTCCTCCGAGAGCCAACCGTGGACGATCAACTGCGAGGAGCCACCAGAGGATGACCTCCCAGAGAGGCGCGTCCGCGCCCACGTCGCCGCCATCGCCGAACAAAGGACTGAGCCGGAGATGCTTCTTCGATACTCGTCGCTACAACGCCTGCTCCGGATCACTGCGTGGTGCCGTCGCTGGCTGCGGATCCATCGTCAGGACCACCTCGCGCATGGCCAGCCCGGCTTGAACAGCGCCGACGAGATCGAGGACTCCCGGATCTCCTGGTTAAAAATCATCCAGGCTGAAACATACAAAGAAGAACTGAGACACCTGAAGAATGGAAAGCCTCTGCCGACTCGAAGCTCCCTACTGAAGCTAAGTCCTTTTCTGGACAGTGAGGGACTCCTACGCGTCGGCGGGCGCCTTAAACACGCTGCACTGCAGTATGATGCCACGCATCCAACCATACTACCAAGCAGATCTAATTTTACTTGCCTCATCATCGACGACTACCACAAGCGGACGCTGCACGGCGGCACCCTGTTGACCTTGTGCTCTCTTCGCCAGGAGTATTGGGTCCCTCGAGGTCGCGCTCTAGTGAAGAGCCGCATCAGCCGGTGTCTAAGGTGCACCAGATGGCGGGCTGCCATCCCTCAGCCACTGATGGGGGACCTCCCGGCACCACGAGTTACTCCAGGCCGGCCGTTTCTGCATACCGGCGTAGACTACGCCGGACCGATTTGGATGCGAACAGCAGGGGGCCGCGGACTCAAGGCGACAAAAGGTTTTATTGTTGTCTTTATTTGTTTAGCTTCCCGAGCAGTCCACCTCGACGCGGCCTCGGACTACACCGCTGACGCCTTCCTTGCCGCCTTGCGTCGGTTCGTCGCCAGGCGAGGAGTCTGCCACTCGCTATATAGCGACTGCGGCACCAACTTCGTGGGTGCCGATAAGCAGCTTAGGCAACTATTTTCCGCCGCCAGTGCCGACGGACATCGCATCGCAACCTTCGCCGCCCAGGAAAGAATCCGGTGGCGGTTCAACCCGCCAGCTGCACCTAACTTCGGCGGTTTATGGGAAGCTGCCGTGAAAGCGATGAAGCACCACCTTCGGCGAGTCATCGGTGACGCCACCCTCACCTACGAGGAGATGACTACTCTCCTAGCCCAAATTGAGGCCTGCCTCAATTCCAGACCGCTGCAGCCGTTGTCTGACGATCCGGAGGATGTAGCCGCACTCACACCTGGTCACTTCCTGGTCGGCTCCGCTCTCTCGGCGATCCCCGAACCGTCGCTCGAAACGAGAGCCGTCGGCACGTCTCTCACGGTGGCAGCTCCTGCAAAACATGAAGGACCATTTCTGGTCTCGGTGGGTCAGCGAATACTTACACACGCTGGCCCATCGGCCGAAATGGTCCCGAATTAATCAGGAGGCTCGCGTCGGTCGAATCTGCCTCGTGCGAAACGAAATAACACCACCAACACGGTGGCCGCTTGCGCGCATTACACGACTGCATCCAGGTTCCGACGGTAACGTTCGCGTAGTCGACGTCCGCACCTCGACCACAAATTTGACGCGTCCCGTGAACAAGTTAGTCTTTCTGACCGACGGCTCCGAAGACTCACTCGAATCGCAATCACGCGTCGTCCGCGTTTAAAAAATTTACACTTTTCTCTATTCCATATTCACATTCATTTATTTTTTTCACTAAATTTTCATTATTCTCCTCACAATTGTACTTCACACTCACAGTCACTTGCACATCGCCAGCATACGGTCTACGCAAAGCTTAACCTATACGCGTCTATACTGACTCCCATATAAACAGCTGATCGATTCAGCATTCCGTTCTCTAAATCAATCGGAGCACGTGCGCTCCACGTGTCCGTCACGCACGAGCGCGTGAATAGGCTCGTGCCCCACTCTCGCGCTGAGAACACGATTGCAGGTATATTACTGCAAGGCGGGCGAAATGTTCGAGATTCGAACGGTAATAACCCGCGGACAAAAAAGCGTTAAAATATTCATGCATCTCGATCATGCCTCATGCAGCATGCATATAATTTATTAATTAATATCGTGGTCTAACATGCGTATTTTAAATTATATTTAAATTAGCGCTCGGCCGCGAGAGTATACGGATACTCCGCGCCTTCGAAAATAAGCGCTTAAAACAGTCTAAATTGTAAACACCGCTGTCGCGCGAGAGGAGAGAAAAACAAGTAAATAATTACAGTAAACGTTCCTTCGCCCTTAATATCACAATAGAACGACAGCAAATGTACTCGAATATTCTAGAATTACAAGGCGTATATAAGCCTCCTCTCTCGCGACCGCGGCGCTTTTACCGATTGCTCATCGCGAATAAAGTGTGTTCATACGATAAAGATTGCTTGTCTTTGTCTAATTCATTACCGTTGCTTGCGGACACTTAGTAATTTAAGACTCGGCTAATTCTCTCGGTAAATTCGGTGCGGTATATTAATTGTAATTTTTGTTAATAGTTTATATAAATATATTTTTTTTGTGAACGTTACGCGTGTGTCGAGTGTTGTGTCTATTTCTCGGTCTCGCTTCCGACCACGTCCTATCCATCTTTCCGTCGCGCACAAGCAGTTTCCTGGACGTTGGATGGGTCGGTATGGCCCGATACGTTGGCCCGCAAGATCCCCGGACCTTAATTCTCTTGATTTCTTTTTATGGGGATACTGTAAGGAATCAATATACAAAACGCTTCCCGAGAACGTCGACGACTTAGAAACCAGATTGCGATATGTAATTTGGAATATCGAAGAGGAAGTAATGGAGAACGTCCAATTAAATTTATTTAAACGCATGCGAGCTTGCATAAGGATGGATGGTGGTCATTTTGAGCACCTATTATAAATTAATCCGCTCTTTTCAGAGCGACCAAAGTCAATCCGCTCTTTTCAGAGCGACCAAAGTCAATCCGCTCTGAAAAGAGCGACCAATACATTTATACATGGAACATCTTGTTCGCAAAACATAATCATTTTTCTCACGTCTCGCTTAAAAAGAAAGGGCAAAACGGGCGGATAATGTTAAGTCATTAAAAAAAATGTATTATAACGTAAAAAATTATAATACGTTATAATATGCCTTTTTTAATAACATAATTATTATACGTTTTAATACATGTCTCGCGTCAATCACATGTTCGGCAACGCCGCGTGATTGTTATCGTCTAGACGTGTCGCGAAGCGTCGCGACGCGTTGCGTCATCCGTCGCCGCAGTCTGTTGTCGTGTCCTTGCCGTGTAAACAATTGTCGTCCGCATCGAGTAACGTGTGCCTTTTTACAAGTAATTTTAATAATTAATCGGTACACTGAGAGAATTTTCTCTTAAAATTTACCCTAAAAGTTATGGTAATTGTGAGACAATACGGTATGAAAAGAATTTTATTAAAATTTCTCTGATTAATATTTATCACATTAAAAATAATATCTATCACAATAAAATATGAAATATGTGTGATTAATTTTACTAAACTGTATAGTAAAATTAATCAAACATATTTTATATTTCTTGTGATACATATTATTTTTAATATAATAAATAGTAGAGAAATTCTAATAAAATTCTTTCCACATTGTTGAAGATTCGTTCTTCGGATCGAATCCTCGAGGACGATCGAATTTTCTAGAATGTTTTTTTGTTAAATTCCTTAGTGTTTACGCCAAGGAAACACGTGAAACCAACGTGTACACTCGCCGCTAATTGGCGTGTGTACATCGCCTGATTTTCTGATGGTCCAATCGAGGACCCCGATCGGCTGCCGCCCTACGCGAGCTCCGAAATTCGCGCAGCCCTCGAGTCAGTCCTCGAGAGAGCGAGCGCCGAGAAACATAAGTCTCGGTACGCGACGAACTTGTAGAAAGTGAATAAACTAATTTATAAGAGTTTTAACAAGGCTCTGTAATATAAATATAAATTTAACGTATAAGACGGGCAACAAGAGCCAAATCGCGGATGACAATGCGTTATCCTAACGAAACTAAATAATTTTCCGTTAGAATTAAATACCGGTGCACAAGGCACCAAATTTTACTTGGACACGGCCAAGATTTTAAAATATAAAATAATCTCATATTTGAGATTTATTTCAATACCCATAAACCCTTTAACTCCCCTACGGAAATAACTTGGCTTAAAAAATGCGTTTGTTTTACTACCACATTTAATATATATAACAAGAAAAGTATAGAATCGAAAGGATCTGAATAGCTCAGCTGGAAGAGCAGTCGCCCGGCAAGCGAAAGGTCTCGGGTTCGATTCCGATTCAGCGATTTTCGGATCTATATTTTTCTCTTGCATTCATTTATTTATTTTCCGTAGGGGGTTAAAGGGGGTATTGAAATTAAATCTCAAATATGAGATTATTTCATATTTAAAATCTTGGCCGTGTCCAAGTAAAATTTGGTGCCTTGTGCACCGGTATTTAATTCTAACGGAAAATTATTTAGTTTCGTTAGGATAACGCATTGTCATCCGCGATTTGGCTCTTGTTGCCCGTCTTATACGTTAAAAATCTACTATGTTAGGCAATATTCTCCTCTTCGGCGTGGTTTTCGAGCCAGGTATCGCATTTATGACTTTGTTATTCGACCCATCGCATTGTCGGTAGAATTTCGAAACATGTATAATTGTATTTGCGTGCTCGAACAGCCGAAAGAGGCGAATATTTGCTAAGGCTCAGTGCCTATTGAAAATTGAGAGCGTCTTTATAATTTAGAAATATTTACTCGAAAATTGTAAAAGGTTTTTTCACCTTCTGATTACTTGCCCTCGTTATTCGATCGCAAGGAATTATTGCATTGATCTCTTGTTTGATTTCTTGGTTGATTGAAAATTGATTTATTGTCTTCATCGTACGTTGAAGACTACCGTTGGCTATATTTCGCATATTCGCATACGTTCAAATGCGAGGCGGGCGGTATGTTTAAAATTGTCACGTATTTTCGGAGCGACGAAGCAAGGTTAATCGTAGAAATTGAAAATATTCGACGCCGAGATGTTATTCCGGTTGTTTTCGATTCCGCGAGCGAGGAATCTACAAAAACTCGCCTTTGTCTCGCGTTTCGGAGCGTGATGGGGCAATCGTCCGCGAATAGGATTTCAGCACGTGTGCCACGCGTCGATCGGATGAGCCTTAGCTGCCGAATTCCGCGAGGATCAAAAATGAGTCTACTCGAGGAGTCTGAACTGAAGAGACGTCTCCGTGTATATCAGCGAAAAGAGCATCGCGCGAATTTATCTCGTTCTAGAGCGAACTTCCGCGTTTTAATCTTGTCTGCGAGAGTTTTGAATAAAACTGCTTTGCCTCAAAAGTGAATTTCTCCACCTTTACAATTTTCTCCGCATCCAGTCTCCTTCGTATCTACGAGCCGACTTATAAATAAATAAATTTGCCTCTGCGCGGAAAATTAAAACAAATCGAAGGTTCTCGCACAACTTGTGAACTGCAGGACACATGAACATCGACATTTCGAACGCACATTGCGGTCCACGGATACAATTCCCGGACCACGCCTGGCTGAGAGTCGTTTTAGTACCCCTAAACTACTTGCGCCCGAAAAGCGCGCACGGCCACGACGCGGGCGACCAGAGAATGGCGCGCGCGTCGCCTGTGCTCTGTGCAACGCTTACAATGGGCGTACGAGCGATCGTTGGACGTTCGCCCGAGGTGTCTGTGCCGCGCCGACCAGCCGCGGCGCAAATCCTTGCGTCGTCTGAAATGACACACCGAAATAATAATGAGAAAGAGAAGCGCACAAGCGTGTAAAACGTTGGCGAACGCGCGCCCAGAGAATGCTGCGCGAATTAAGAGGGGGAGCGTGTTTTGTGTATCCAAGTCGTGTGTGTACGCGAGAGCCGAGGAGAAATGGGATGAGAGTAAGAGCGCGCGCGAAGGGAGCAACAAACGGCCAAAAAAAGGGTCAGGGCGGTGAATGGCACCGCTTTCCCTAGAGCGGCGCGTGCGTCGTTGTCTCCCGAAAGTAGGTAGCGCATGTCTCACCGTCTCTCCTCTCCGTACATCACACAGACTGACCGACTGCTCTCGCACTCTGTGCCGCGTCTCTTGGTGCGATAGCGCTCGCGCGCCTTATGCCGAGGCGCCCTTGCCCGCACACATAACGGTATTACGGAGAAATATACGGCGCGTCGTCGTCCGGCGGAGAGAGCATTCGTAATCCTTTACCTCTTTACGGAGAAGGGTTTTGAATCGCGAGCCGACCGCGTGTCCGAGTCCACGAAATTTTCGTAAAGCAAAAAAAAAGGACCGGCGCGCCGCGTCGTGTACTCGTCGAATCGATTCCGCCCGAATTTCGTATATAAAAGAAAAGGAGAGCCGAGAATTTCGAACCCCGCGATATATCGTCTCCATTACCACCAACGAGTGTGT